GCGTCCTTCGAATGTATCATTGAAGTACACTTCAAATTCTGCAATTGTTCTTGCTCCAAACATTAAATTGTCGTCGTCGGATATTATAAAGTAGCCCGCGTTTGACCAGATGTCGAGCAATTCCTAAAAGATAGAGAAATGGGTAAGAAAAAACATAAGTAAAACTAGTGGTGTATGGCATCGTGCCTTAAGGCAAATTGCTGGAACTTCCCGTACCGTAATGAAATATTCGAGAAATTTTAAACGTGGTATTACAAATACTGTAATTTTCATTATTTTTGCCTAAATCTTGTTATATCTGAGCAAATCAAATGTAAATCATAAATCATAAATCAATTATCTCCAGAACATTAACAATTGTCAATTTCATTCGAAATCAATTTCAAAAAAATAGTTTGTGCCTAATTTACCCAAAATTGAAAAAGTGTTCCCGTATAGTCAAAGTCTAAACGCTTTGCAAATAATTCTGTGCGACATTTTCACTTATACTGTGCTTAGCTTGGCGGCATTTTCACATTTTTCAATAGTTTTCACAAAATTTATAAAAACGCTCCGCATAGTCAAATTCTAAACGCACTTGCGGAAACATTTGTACCAAGAGTGGCGATTAGACTGTGCTTAGCCTGGGTAATTTTTGAATTTTTAATACAAAATTACAAAAATATTTATTAAAAAAAAGATTTTTTTTTCCAAAAGCAATTGTTTTGTCAATAGAAGCATAAAGTTTTTTAGATCATTCAAATCGGACGCTTAGTTCTCTCAAAAACTGCCATTTTTTGCACATTTAGCTCTGTATCTCCGAAACCGCTGGGCCTACCTTTGCCAAAAACTAATAACCACTTTTCCTCGTCATTACGAACTGAATGTTTTTTGGATCATACAAATCGGATACTCCGTTCTCTCAAAAATTCGATTTCTATTTTCCGCACTCTTTGCTCCGTATCTCCGAAACGGCTAAACCTGCCTTTGCCAAAAAATAATCAGCACATCTCCCTATCAATAGGAATCGAATGTTTTTTGAACCATTCAAATCGGTTGATCCGTGCGCCCGAAAACGTCGGCGAAAAATTGTATCCGCAAATACTTTTTAACGCCAAAATGTTCAGAAACTTTTGAAACGTGACAGTGGACTTTATCAACGAACAAACTAAATCAAAAGTATTCTACTGTCGAGCTAAATCATTTTTAACACAAAAATAAAAAAGGACCTTACTGACGAGCAAACTAAATTAAAAAAAAGAACTCTACTGATAAGCTAAATTGATCCTGACACAAAAACTAAAAGAGACTCTACTGACAAGCAAATCGCATTACGACGTAAAAGATAAGAAAGGACTCAACTGACGAGCAAAAACTAAGTTAGAAAAAAGGACTCTACTGACGAGCAAACAAAATTAAAAAATATTCTGCTACATTCTAAATCAATTTCAACGCAAAAAAGGACTCTACTGACGAGGAAACAAATGAAAATTCTAATATACTTTAAATAAATAATTTTAACTTTGCAATTTAGTTTATATAATTCTTATAAATATTAGACAATGTTGCAATATTTATAATAATCTATTTGAAAACATTCAATATTCCTCAAAATTATTACAGTATGGAAAGTTCCAGCAATTTGCCTTAAGTCACGCTGCCATACACCACTAGTTCAATATTCAAATTGTTTAAACATTATCAAAATTTTTAAAAATAAGTAAGAAGTTACAGAATATCAAAATTCTCAAAAAAATACTAATTTTTCTTTTCTGAGCTTTTAAAAAATCTTTAATGCACTACTAATTATTAACTTCCCTTAGGGCAAGTTATAGTAATCACAAAAAAATCGAAAATGAAAAATTTTATATATCTTTACGTTTCAGAGGTTTCTGAATATTTTGGCATACCTTAGAAAAAATGGATGTATGTGTGCGTGTGCGGATACAAATTTTCGTCGACGATTTCGGGAACACGGATGAGCAATTTGAATAATTTAAAAAACATTCGATTCGTATTGATAAGGAGACGTGCTGATTAGTTTTTGGCGAAGGCAGGTCTGGCCGTTCCGAAGATACGGGGCAAAAAGTGCCAAAAACGGTACCTCAGTTTTTAAGAGAACGGAGCGTCCGATTTTAATAATTCAAAAAACATTTTACTTGTATTGACAAGACAAAGAATTGATCAAATTTTCATAAGGGCAGGTCTAGCGGTTTCGGAGATCTAACGAAAAAAGTAAAAAAAAATGCCATTTGACGGTCAAAAATGATCATTAGACATATGCACATCAAATTATCAGATATTTTATAGAGATTTTAACATAAGTATAAAATTGGTTTACATTCCTATGGGTTCCGTACCAATGCTTATGCTTTAGACAGCGACGCGGCGCTTACGCGCTTTATATTTTGTCTCTATGCAGTTAAAAGCAGTACGATGCTTTGAAAACTAGTGGGTGGGTGGCATCGTGCCTTAAGGCAAATTGCTGGAACTTCCCGTACCGTAACGAAATGTTCGAGGAATACTGAATGTTTTCAAATAGATTATTATAAATATTGTAACATTGTCTAATATTTATAAGAATTATATAAACTGAATTGCAAAGTTAATTATTTGTTTCAACAAAAAAATAAAAAAAAAAAAAAAAAAAAAAAAAATGGAACAAAATTTTTTTTTCCAAAATCAATATTTTGTTAAGACAAGCAAAAGTTTTTTGAATCATTCAAATCGGACGCTTAGTTCTCTCAAAAACTGCCATTTTTTACATATTAGCTCTGTATCTTCGAAATGGCTGGGCCTGCCTTTGCCAAAAACTAATAAACACTTCTCCCAATCATTACTAATTGAATGTTTTTTAGAATCATTCAAATCGGATACTCCGTTCTCTCAAAATTCGATTTCTATTTTCCGCACTCTTTGCTCCGTATCTCCCGAAACGGCTGGACCTGCCTTTGCAAAATCTAATCAGCTCTTTTCCCTATCAATAGGAATCGAATGTTTTTTGAACCATTCAAATCGGTTGATCCGTGCGCCCTAAACGTGACTGGAAATTTTGTATCCACACATACATACACACACACACATACACCACACACACACACACACATCCATTTTTTCTGAGGTATGCCAAAACGTTTCAGAAACCTTCAAAACGTCGAGAAATGTAAAAATTTCATTTCGATTTCGGCCCATTACAATAACTTACCCTACGGGAAGTTAAAAAGTTCGATCTTCCAAAATATGTTAAAAATAAAGAAAAAAAATTTTTTTTCAAAAAAAAAAAAAAAATTAAGAAAAAAATTTATTTTTTTAAAAATTTTTTTTTTCAAAAAAAGTAATTTTTTGTCCAATTTATAGTTTCTCAAAAATCTTATTTTTCCGAAGTAAAATTTTTTCAAAAATGTCAATCGTTTTTAAAAAAATAATAATTTTTGGTACGGGAAGTTCCAGCAATTTGCCTTAAGGCACGATGCCTTAATTGCCTTAAGACAGAATTCCACTTACAGCTAGTTATTATTATTATTACCTGTGCTCGGACAAGAGAGAGTGTCAAAGGAGCCTCCAGCTGCAATCTAAAGTTCAAGCAAGTGTTTACGGGGATCATAAAATCATCCTCTTGTATCATGCTGTTGAGGATTATTTTGAAGAATTCATATTCAGCAGGAGTGTGAAACACATTCAATCTAAGATAAAAATAAAAATATTTAATAAATTAAATACAGAAATTAATAAGTGAATGAATAAATATACTAACCGGCTCCTCTTGTCATTTACTGTGCGTATAAAAACAATTTTTGAATCACGACTGATGTCACAGGTCATTATTTTAATTTGCTGCTTGAATTTGCTGATTTTTTCATTGATTTCTTTGATTATTGTCGGTAGTTTTGTATCTTCATTGGATTCATCGCCTGGAAGGTAATATAAATTTTATTGGTGTGCAAGATAAAATACAGTTTGATTTTATTTCTAGTACTACATTAATTTATTTATTTTTTTAAGAGTTATCTTCATAATCGTAAACAGTTTGTCTATCTTAAAGGATTCTTGAGCAACATTGAAAATATCAGTTCAGGTGTTCCTCAAGGATCCATTCTTGGTCCGCTACTAATTATTATTTTTATTAATGACAAATCTGATATTAGCGGTCCGCATTTATTATTTGCACATGATATCAAACTATATTTCAAAACTAGCTGTAAGTGGAATTCTGTCTTGAGGCAATTATGCCATCGTGCATTAAGGCAAATTGCTGGAACTTCCCGTACCGTAACGAAATGTTCGAGGAATACTGAATGTTTTCAAATAGATTATTATTATTATTGTAATATTGTCCAATATTTATAAGAATATATAAACTGAATTGCAAAGTTGAAATTATTTTGTAAAGTATATTAGAACTTTAGTCAGAATTAAAAATAAAATCTGAATTATTTTTGATATACAAAAAATTGAAGTTGAAACAAATTTTCTTTCCAAAATCAATTATTTTGTTAAGACGAGCAGAAAGTTCTTTGAATCATTTAAATCGGACGCTTAGTTCTCTCATCAAACTGCCATTTTTTACATATTTAGCCTCGTATCTTCGAAATGGCTCAGCCTGCCTTTGCCAAAAACTAAAAAACACTTCTCCCCATCATTACTAATTGAACGTTTTTTAGATCATTCAAATCGGATACTCCGTTTCTCTCAAAAATTCGATTTCTATTTTCTGCACTCTTTGCTCCGTATCTCCGAACGGCTGGACCTCTGCCTTTGCCAAAAACTAATCAGCTCTTTTCCCTATCAATAGGAATCGAATGTTTTTTGAACCATTCAAATCGGTTGATCCGTGCGCCCTAAAACGTGACTGGAAATTTGTATCCATACATACATACACACACACACACACACACCACATCCATTTTTTCTGAGGTATGCCAAAATGTTCAGAAACCTTCAAAACGTCGAGAAATATAAAAATTTTCAATTCCGATTTTCGGCCCATTACAATAACTTACCCTACGGAAAGTTAAATAAATTCTATTGATGACTGCTTATTTTTACAGTCTCAACTTGACCCTTTCCACTCTTGGTGTGTCGATAACAAATTACATTTAAATATATCAAAGTGCAAGATTCTTAGTTTTTCATATTAGCGCGTTCCAATACATTTTGATTATAAATTTCTAACACCAGCTTTGATAGATGTAATAAAATTTCAGATTTAGGAGTTTTATTTGATTCTGGTTTGTTTTTCACTGATCATATAATTGATATTTGTAATCGAGCACATAAATCTTTAGGTTTGATACTGAGAAATTGTAAACAATTTAATTCTAACAATGTACTTCTTTGCATGTACTATTCTAATGTACAATGTTCACAAAATAGAATATGGTTCGATCATTTGGTATCCTCATCAATCAACAACTCTGATGCGATAGAGAAGGTTCAGTGAAAATTCTGAAATATCTTTATTATAAAACATATAAAATTTACCCTGAACGTGGCTTTGACCACAACACTTTACTAAAAGAATTTGGTATTCTTTCCATTGTCTCACGTCGATTTATCTATACATTATGTTCTTATTTAAACTTGCAATAATTCTATAGACTGTCCTCTTATTCTCAACCAACTATCATTTATTGTTCACAATTATTTTTCAATTATCCTACTCCTAAATCTATTCTCTCTTAAATTCACCTATTTTACTTATGTCCTCTAACTTTAAATTAATAATAATGAAATAGATATTCATAACAAACACTTCACCTTATCAAAAAATCTCATCTGCACAAGTTAACCTTTTTATTTATTTTTCAAATATCTCATTATTTTATCTTATTCTGTTTATAAATAATATTGTTACATTCTGCATTATATGTAATTTATGTTAGCATTTTATGTTAATAACTATATATTGTAACTTTGTATATATTTTAATTGTTACTCATTATGCAAAATAATTGTATTTTTGAATCCTCTTGGAAGAAATCTGTGGGCTATATATGTAAAATAAATAAATAAATAAATAATAGTCTACAACAAAACATCGAAGAGGTACTAAATTAACATCAAACTCGATAACAACTAAAACCAACGAAGGCTTTTGCCAAAACTGTAAAGTGCTTTTAATTCAACTCCAAACATCCAAAATATAAACCATCTCATAACAAATAAATTATTGTAATATTTCTTTCTAACACTTACCCCAAATTGCAGAAACAAATTCTAGCCCCTTAGACATGTCCATAATCCCATTATTCAACATGTTTTGCAAGAAATTTGTATGATTTTCAGTATAAACCATTGTAATAAAATATTTAAACTATTAAATATCGTTCAAACAGTTCAATTAAATAATATTAAATAATTTTTAACTTTTTTACAACATAACCTCAAAAGTTTCAAAATTATTAAAAAACGTGGAGGTTTATATTAAATGTATTTGTGCACTATGAAAACTTGTATAATTTTATTTGCTGAATTGATTTAGCATTAAATATATTCCAATAATGTTGGCTATTACGTTTTATTTTATTTTTTGCAATGATTTCGGTTAGTGTTTTAAATTATAAACGAAATTCAAGTGACAGTAGTAGAGGCGAAAGCAGTGTGTCAGATTACAGGTTATACTGTTTGCATATTGTTCAGGGGAATAAATTTATAGTATAAAATTATATTAATTATATATATATATATATATATATATATATATATATATATATGTATATATAAATAACTTATAAGTTATTAAACAAATATTTTAAAATTAGAATAAATTTTACAATGAATAATTACAACACTTTCACAATTTTTTTTAATAATTCACAATATTTTTGTATAATCTGCAATATTGTAATAAAATATATCTCATACACATAATCAATAAGTTTTTGAGATAATTTGTAACATTCTGCGATCATTTTCGCAACATTCTGTGATTATCTAGAACATTCTAAGATAATCTATAACATACTCAGACATTCTACAACGTTCTGAGATAATCTGCAACAATCTGAGATGATCTGCAACATTCCTAAACACAATAATCTTATATATTTTACAACATTCTGTGATAATCTACAAACTACTCAGACATTCAAAATATATATAAATACAGTAGGCCCTCGCTTTACACGGCACTCTGGGTACACGGTTCCCATACTACACGGAGCTAAAAATCCGACATCCCTCCGACTACACGGACTTCTTATTACGCGGTATTTGGTCAACAGCCCATAAGTTCGTTGTGCAAAAGGGTATTGATGTAAATTTTGTTATCGACTTTTATCTTTTAGACATGCCTGATTGTATAATAGCCGCCTAAGAACACGTTTGAGCTGACTACTGCGTCGCGCCAATTTTTGAATAAGGTGTCAATGTGTCAATGTCCTACACGTCATTTCGTCCGTATTTCTCCTACTTCAAGTTGTATTTCTTGGTCTCCATACAACGCGATAAAAATGATGCGATTTGTACCAACTCTGAGTCTCTCATAACACGGTTCCCATACTGCACTATGTAAAGTTCCATAGAACGCACTACGAATTAGCCTGAATTGTATGGTAAATACGAGTTTCTTATAGCACGGTTCCTATACTGCACGGTACGCACTTGCCGCGTAAAGCGAGGGTTTACTGTATATATATTCTATGATCGACAACATTTAGAGACCTCCTACAACATCCTGAGACAATGTACGTTTAATGTTTGATACGATGTACAACATTCTGAGATAATCTACAACATTCTGAGTTATTCTACAACATTCTGAGACTATTTACATAATTCGAAGACAATCTACAACATTCGTAGACTATCTACAACATTCTGTGGCAATTTCCAACATTCTGTCATTATCTATAACATTCTTAGATATTCAACAACATTCTGAGACTATGTACAACATTCTGAAACCATTTACATAATTTAGAGACAATCTACAATATTCTGAGACTCTCTACGATATTCTAAGGCATTCTACAACATTCTGAAACCATTTACAACGTTCTGAGACCATTTACAACATTCTGAGACCTTATACAAGATTTTGAGACCATCTGCAACAATTTGAGACTATCTGCAACATTTTCAGGCAAACAGTAACATTCTAAGACAAACTACAACATTCTGGAGTCATTTACAACATTCTGAGACAATTTACAACGTTCTGAGACTCTCTACAACATTCTGAGACAATTTACAACATTCAGAGACATTGTATAACATTCTGAGATATTGTACAACATTTTGAGACCATTTACAACATTCTGAGACTCTCTACAACATTCTGAGACAATCTACAACATTCTGAGACAATCTACAACATTCTGTGACAATTTACAACATTCTGTAACCATTTACAACATTCTGAGACAATTTACAACATTCTGAGAAAATCTACAACATTCTAAAACCATATACAACACTCTAGGACGTTGTACAACATTCAGAGACGATGTACAACATTCTAAAACATTGTACAACATTCTGAGACTTTGTACAACATTCTAGAACCATTTACAATATTCTAAGACATTCTACAACATTCTGAAACAATCTACAACATTCTGAGAAATTGTACAACATTCTGAGACATTATACAACATTCTGAAACCATTTACAACATTCTGAGATGATGTACAACATTCTGAGGCTTTGTACAACATTCTAAAACCATTTACAATATTCTAAAACATTCTACAACATTCTGAAAAAATCTACAACACTCTGAGACATTGTACAACATTCTAAGACATTATACAACATTCTGAGACATTATACAACATTCTGAAACCATTTACAACATTCCAAGACATTTTAAAACATTCTGAGACATTGTACAACATTCTGAAACCATTTACAACATTTCAAGACATTTTAAAACATTCTGAGAAAATCTACAACATTCTAAGACATTGTACAACATTCTGAGACAATTTAAAACATTCTGAGACATTATACAACATTCTAAGACATTGTACAACATTCAGAGACTACATACAACATTCTAAGACAATCTACAACATTCTAAAACCATTTACAACACTCTGAGATAATCTACAACATTCTGAAACCATGTACAACATCTGAAACCATTTACAACATCCTAAAACATTGTACAACATTCTGAGACTCTGTACAACATTCTAAAACCATTTACAATATTCTAAGACATTCTACAACATTCTGAAAAAATCTACAACATTCTGAAACCACTTACAACATTCTGAAACCATTTACAACATTCTGAAATCATTTACAACATTCTGAAACCATTTACAACATTCTGAAACCATTTTAAAACATTCTGAGACCATTTAAAACAATTTAAGACATTTTACAACATTCTGAAACCATTTACAACATTCTAAGATATTGTTCAACATTCTGAGACTATTTAAAACATTCTAAGACATTGTACAACATTCTTAGACATTGTACAACATTCTACTCATTGTAGAACATTCTGAGACCTTCTGCAACATTCCGAGACTATTTAGAACATTCTGAAATCATTTACAACATTCTTATTCAATTTGCAACACTCTAAGACAAATTACAACATTTTGAGACATTGTACAGCACTCTGTAATATTGTACAACATTCTAAGACAATCCACAACATTCTTAGACAATTTACAACATTCTTATATAATTTACAACACTCTAAGACAATCTACAACATTCTGAGAAAATCTACAACATTCCTGAACCATTTAGAACCTTTTGAGACATTGTACAACATTCTGAAACCATTTGCAACATTCTGAGACTTTGTACAACATTTTGAGAAAATTTACAACATTCTTAGATATTCTACAACATTCTGAGATAATCTAAAACATTCTGAGACTCTATACAACATTCTGAGACATTTTAAAATATTCTGAGACAATTTACAACATTCTGGAATCATTTACAACACTCTGAGATAATCTACAAAATTCTGAGACATTGTACAACATTCTGAGAAAATCTGCAACATTCAGAGACGATGCACAACATTCAAAGACAATCTACAACATTCTGAAACAATCTACAACATTCTGAGACATCTTATTACATTTTTAAACATTGTACAACATTTTGAAACCATTTACAAACATTCTGAGACAATCCACCTTCATACAATTTTCCCTCTACAAAATTACAATACACAAAATCAATTCCCATTTACATCTAAAATAATTTTATTTAAACATACAAAATTTAATTTCATACTTATTTCAAATTTTTCATTCATTTAGTGCCGTAACTTTTTGCGTCAGAGCATCAATATACTCCTGCAGCTCCGGCAAATGTCTCTCAGCATCCTCACATTCAACCCTTGCATTCTGCACAGCCGAATAAGCCGACTTGCACGACAACCTTACAGAACTCAACTGCTGTTTAATCTCATTTCTATCCGTAACACTTACATCCGCCCCCTCGACATCCAACCCCAAAACCAACTTGGCCATATCTAGACACAAATCCATTACTTCTTTACAAACTTTAGGATCGGCAGTCCAATTGCCCTGTGCAAGACACCTGTAAGCCTTCATTAGTTTAGGACACACCAGAATATCTTTTAGAGGCAACGAAGCGTAGATTAACCACATTTTGGGGTCGGTTGGATGGGTAATTGATATCCGTCCCATCAGTTTTTGGAAACGTTCCAAGTATCGCTTGGAGTTTTGGCCGTGGGCGTCTGGTTTTTCATCGACTATCACTTTGGCTAAGATTTCTAGGATTTCTAGGTCTAGATGTTTTCCTCGTAGGTCTAGGAGTCTGTCGTAGGCGCGTATTGAGTCGCTGAAGTTACCCGTGTCTATGCTGATGACTAACATGTTTTCCCAAACCTGGTAAAGGATAATGGAAATATAAATAGAAATATATATATATATATATATATATATATATATATACTAGATGACCCGACAGACATTGTCCTATACCCACATCTAATTTTTTTTAATATTCTATACTAATATAAGGTTGTCAAATATCTCCCTTCCGCCTTTTTGTATTATAAACCAAGAGCAAAAAAGCGGAAGGGAGATATTTGACAACCTAATATTAATATTTATATTTATATTTATATTTATATTTATATTTATATTTATATAAGGTTGTCAAATATCTCCCTTCCGCCTTTTTGTATTATAAACCAAGAGCAAAAAGCGGAAGGAGATATTTGACAACCTAATATTTATATTTATATTCATATTTATATTTATATTTATATGTATATAAGGTTGTCAAATATCTCCCTTCCGCCTTTTTGTATTATAAACCAAGAGCAAAAAGCGGAAGGGAGATATTTGACAACCTAATATTTATATTTATATTTATATTTATATTTATATTCATATTTATATTTATATAAGGTTGTCAAATATCTCCCTTCCGCCTTATTGTATTATAAACCAAGAGCAAAAAAGCGGAAGGGAGATATTTGACAACCTAATATTTATATTTATATTTATATTTATATTTATATTCATATTTATATTTATATAAGGTTGTCAAATATCTCCCTTCCGCCTTATTGTATTATAAACCAAGAGCAAAAAAGCGGAAGGGAGATATTTGACAACCTAATATTTATATTTATATTTATATTTATATTTATATTCATATTTATATTTATATAAGGTTGTCAAATATCTCCCTTTCGCCTTTTTGTATTATAAACCGAGAGCAAAAAAGCGGAAGGGAGATATTTGACAACCTAATATTTATATTTATATTTATATTTATATTTATATTCATATTTATATTTATATAAGGTTGTCAAATATCTCCCTTTCGCCTTTTTGTATTATAAACCGAGAGCAAAAAAGCGGAAGGGAGATATTTGACAACCTAATATTTATACCGTTCAGTTAAAAATAATAATTATTGTTTTTCGAATTACTATTTACACCAATATATGAGTGATGCTAAATGTAGAACTGCTTCAAATAAAATGATGATTCTCAATTCCCACAGTTAACACTTTAATTATTCCTTCAACAAATATTAAAACATGCTCAATAAAATTGTGTATCAAAAATTATACACTGCAATTTATTCAACAAATTTATTTCCAATAGCTCAATTTATTTTAATGCCAAGGGTTATCCAATATTTTTAGTCATACCTGTAGATGTGGATGTATAAATGAATGATTTTTTGTTTATTCACGACTAAAACATTGATTTTCCAAATTTATCACACAAAAAATCATTGTCTGCCTTTGTGATTTATAGCATAAGATATACGTATTGGAAATTGCAGTATTTTAAACAGTATAACAAATTCAGAAAGAATTAATATATAGCATTTTTTCTACCAAAAATAATTGCTTAAATAATGTTGCCTATAATTTTTATAATTTCGTACCATATTTTAACTGGCTTTTAGTAATTTTAATATCTAAATTACATTTTTCTCACTAATAATTCAATATACATTATTACTTAAGTTCATATTTGAAGAGAATTGATTTGTCAAATCCTGTTAACATGTGCTCTATTCAACCAACGATCAACAAAATTATTGCAGTAAATGGAGAGGAAAAAAGTGTGTGCGATTTCTTTTACTGTGCTCCAATTTGCTTAATATTTTGGAAATAGGCTAATCTTAATCTTAAGTTGCACTCCGTCACCACCCCCCGCAATAATTGGATCATAACTCTTTTAATTCTGACTTTATCAGAACTTGTAATAAACTTTTTTAAAGGTAATTAAATGAGCTACAACTTTCTCTATCATAAATTTTACCGTAACTTCTCTTATTTTGAAACGGCTAAGGGTTGAAGGGCGTTATTAGATTTTATTATACGCTTTTTACGAATTTGTAGCAGATGAATCTAAAGAAGTTTTACTTCAAAAATTTTAAATGGCATGTGGGGTATCATTTGAAAGCTCTTTTTAAATAGAATTCGAATACAGAAATAAGATTACACACAAACACACATACGCATAGTTTTTTTCAAATTTGGTCTTTTTCAATTCAGAATAACTTAAAAAACATCAAATTAGCAAAGCGGATTTTTTGGCAAAAACAGGACTCTACTGACGAGCAATTTAAATAAAAGCATACCAGAAAAAAGGACTCTACTGACGAGCAAATTAAATAGAAGCATACCAGAGAAAAAGACTCTACAGACGAGCAAATTAAATAAGACACTCTTATTGGACAGCCGCGCACTCTTTAAACAATCATATCTCTATCAATATTTATGTAACAGAAAAATAATAAAAAGCAATAATTAGTCAGAAAAGGAGCTTGAATTTTCATATATATACTTTTATACGTAATCTTTCAGAGATATTATAATGAGAAATTGGTTGTTTTTTTTAATGGATTTTTTTTTCACCGTTTTCTTCAAAAATCGTTTGAACTAAATTTTGCGGTATTTTCCAGAATCCATCAAGATCTCTTAAATCAAGTTAATTCTAGATGGAATACGATTATTCTTAATTTTGGTGGAAATGGCACTCATAAAATATTTGATTTAAATGAAAAAAACATTGTATGCGTCTTTTATTTCCAAGATAGCTCACTCATTTTACATGCAGAAGTACTCATTTGAAAGCTTATTTTGAGTACTACAAAACCACATTTTCATATCTAGCTTAATATTGTTCCTAGAACACTTTATAAAACACCGATTTATTATAATTTTAATTGATATAATTTTGTTCATTACAAGATTTTCGTTAAACGGTATGTTTTTGAAGATATTAGCAAACAACGATGAAAAACGCAAAAAAGAAATAAATTTTTAGTAGCCAGTAACTTGAAAAGTATTTGCTTTTCTGCAAAACAATATTAAACATTTTTCTCTTATAATTAGTTCTTTTATCGATACCGATGAAAAGATATGTCATCCCCCCAGGAAGTGGCAAAGGAGTCTAAATTATTTTTACTTGAGAGTAAGATGAACTTAATTCCAAAGTTCATGCAAACTGGAGCACAGTAAAAAAAATTCAAGCCCAAACGTATCATTGGCTTGAGTAAATATTCCGTATCTAATGCCAAACAAATGAATTTTTAACACAATGAAACTTTTAAATAATTTTTGAATAAGCAAATTTTTTTGTATTGTGATTAGTAAAGTAAGGCAAAACATGACTGCATTAGATAAAAAATCTGTCTTAATCTGTCAAGTGAATTATAGGCTAAGTTTGACGTGTAATCACTGCCAGACACATGTTGACTGTATCTATATTATTTTAATTTTTGGCACATCTCAGCTGCTTTTCAACAATAAAAATGTAGACATTACATTTATCTTATTCATAATCATGAATTTATTATATTTTAATATTGTCTTAGCCTATAAGTGAATTGAAATGTTAGGCAAATCAGGACAGTCTTCATTTGTTTTCAATGCCAAGCAATGCCTCAAACATTTTCAATGTCAATCAATGATAATCGGTTTTTTGCAATTTATTTCTATTTTTTTCTACAATCTAACTATATTTCTATGAATCAAAAAATCCTAGAAAATTCCCTTAACAAACTTCAGAAAGATTTATCAAAATCCAATAATCGTTTAAGAGGATTATCCTTTTATACACCATTACAGAAGAAATTGATATATAAGATATATATATATATATATATATATATATATATATATATATATATTTGTCTAGTTTATTACCTGCCAATTATCATAGTTGCACTTCAAAGCCTCCGTCAGAACTTTAAAAGCCCTATCCTTATCCCCAAGTTTTATATAAGTTTTAGCAAGATTGTTCCAAGCTTCAAACTCCCGTTGTTCCAAATATGTATAATTCCTATAAGCATTCGCTGCAACCGTCCAATTTTCCACACTCAAAGCCGCATAACCGAGCCTCAGCCAAACGCTCTCTTGCAACGAATTCAATTCCAAAGACTTCTCAAAATGGGGTATCGCTTCTTCATATTTAGCCTTGCAATATAAATTGTTGCCCCAGTGTCTTTGTGCTTTGGAACTCTTTTCTTTGGACATGGACCATGCTTTTTCGTAACATTTTATGTCGTCTGTGACATCGCCTAATAAGCAGTACATTTTGACAGTCTCTTCGGCTTCTAGGCGTTCTTTGATTATTTCGGCGGCTTTGTGTTTCATCTCTAATAGTGTGTAGCATAATATAACATCTTCCCACAGTTGCAAGTCGAGGTAAGTGTCTAGGGCTGTTTTGACTAACCCTAGACTTAACATTAAGTCTGCATGGATTCTTCGAGTGTGCCATCTTGTTTTGGGACCGGCCATGAAGAGATAGGATAATCTGGAAATAAAAATTCGCCCTTGGAAAAACATTCTCAAATACAAGAATCTGTGATATTCTACAACTTTCTGAGATAATCTACAACACTCTGAGAAATTTTACGATATTTTCGGACATTCTCCGACATTTTGGGACATTCGACAACATTCTGAGATAAAAGACAACATTAAGGGACCATCTACAATATTCTGAGATATCCTACAGTATTCTGAGACATCCTACAATATTTTTACACTATTTACAACATTCTGACACCATCTACAGAATTCTGAGATTATCTACAAAATTCTAAGATTGTCTACAACGTTCCGAGACCACCTACAACATTCTGAGATATTATACAACATTCTGAAACATTTTGGGATATTCCATAACATTCTTAGACAATTGACCATCTACAACATCTTGAGACCATCTACAAAGTTCTGAGACATCCTACAGCATTCTGAGACATTTTTCAACATTCTGAGACCATCTACAGCATTTTAGGATAATTTACAACATTCTGAGACAATCTACAACAATTTTGAGACCACCTACAACATTCTGAGATATTATACAACATTCTGAGACATTTTACAATATTCTGGGATAACCTGAAACATTCTAAGATAATGTACAACATTTTGAGAGAGCCTACAACAATCTGAGGCAAGCTATCATATTTTCAGACTTTCTACAATATTCTGTGACTATTTACAACATTCTGAGATAATCTACAACATTTTGAGACAACATACAACACTGAGACTATTTACAACATTCTGAGACCATCTACAACATTTTGGGATAATTTACAACATTCTGAGACAATCTACAACAATTTTGAGACGATCTACAACGTTCCGAGACCACCTACAACATTCTGAGATATTATACAACATTTTGAGACATTTTACAATATTCTGGGATAACCTGAAACATTCTGAGATAATGTACAACATTTTGAGAGAGCCTACAACAATCTGAGGCAAGCTATCATATTTTCAGACTTTCTACAATATTCTGTGACTATTTACAACATTCTGAGATAATCTACAACATTTTGAGACAACATACAACACTGAGACTATTTACAACATTCTGAGACCATCTACAACATTTTGGGATAATTTACAACATTCTGAGACAATCTACAACAATTTTGAGACGATCTACAACGTTCCGAGACCACCTACAACATTCTGAGATATTATACAACATTTTGAGACATTTTACAATATTCTGGGATAACCTGAAACATTCTGAGATAATGTACAACATTTTGAGAGAGCCTACAACAATCTGAGGCAAGCTATCATATTTTCAGACTTTCTACAATATTCTGTGACTATTTACAACATTCTGAGATAATCTACAACATTTTGAGACAACATACAACACTGAGACTATTTACAACATTCTGAGACCATCTACAACATTTTGGGATAATTTGCAACATTCTGAGACAATCTACAACAATTCTGAGACAATCTACAACAATTTTGAGACCACCTACAACATTCTGAGATATTATACAACATTCTGAGACATTTTACAATATTCTGGGATAACCTGAAACATTCTAAGATAATGTACAACATTTTGAGAGAGCCTACAACAATCTGAGGCAAGCTATCATATTTTCAGACTTTCTACAATATTCTGTGACTATTTACAACATTCTGAGATAATCTACAACATTTTGAGACAACATACAACACTGAGACTATTTACAACATTCTGAGACCATCTACAACATTTTGGGATAATTTGCAACATTCTGAGACAATCTACAACAATTTTGAGACAATCTACAACGTTCCGAGACTACCTACAACATTCTGAGATATTATACAACATTCTGAGACATTTTACAATATTCTGGGATAACCTGAAACATTCTAAGATAATGTACAACATTTTGAGAGAGCCTACAACAATCTGAGGCAAGCTATCATATTTTCAGACTTTCTACAATATTCTGTGACTATTTACAACATTCTGAGATAATCTACAACATTTTGAGACAAACTGCAACATTTTGAGACAATCTACAACACTGAGACTATTTACAACATTCTGAGACCATCTACAATATTTTGAGATATTCTACAACATTGTGAGATAATCTACAACATTCTGAGACAACCTGCAACATTCCGTGATAATATGCAACACTCAGAGATAATCTACATTTTGAGGAAATTTATATCATTCTGGAATAATGTACAACATTTAGAGACCATCTGGAACATTCTGAGACAATCTACAACACTTTTAGACAATCTACAATACTTTGAGCCAACATACAACATTCTGAGACAACCTACAACACTCTGTGACTCTCTACAATATTTTGAAGCAATATACAACATTTTGATACAATCTACAACATTATAAGACAACCTACAACATTCAGAGACAAGTTACAACACTCTCAGAAAATCTACAATATTCTGAGACAATTTACACATTCCGAGACAATTTACAATATTTTGAGACATTCTACAGCATTCTGGGTCAGCCTACAACAATCTGAGACAACCTATCACATTTTCAGACTTTCTACAACATTTTGAGACATTTTACAACACTTTGAGACAATCTACAACCCCCTGAGACATTTTACAACATTTTGAGACATTTTACAACATTCTAAGACATCCTACAACATTCTGAGACATCCTACAACATTCTGAGACATCCCACAACATTCTGAGACATTTTACAACATTCCTGAACATTTTACAGCATTCTAGGACAACCTACAACATTCTGAGACAAATCACAACATTTTCACTCATTAATAAAAAGTAATAACAAATAAAATATTAATAAAAATAAAATAAAATTACAGGTTATAAAGCAAATTTATAAATTTTAATAATCATAATAATTAAATATTATTATTTATTTTGTAATATTCCCTAAAATATCTGCATGATTTAATTTATTATTACCACTTAATTTTAAAAGTTTTATTAATATTTATTTTTATCTCTAGGTAAAATTTATAAACGTAGAACAAATGCACTATACTCTATATGAGTGTTTTCAGCATATCACAGATGTTGCTAGTGTGCTTCGAATTCACAGTCTCTTTTAATATAGTAGACGTGCTTTAAACGTTCAAGTACGTTGAAATATATCTTTGTTGAATGAAAAAAATGTTTAATTTTATCTCATTATATATTTTTTACAACATATTTGTGATTTACTTAAAAATATATTTTCTACGCGTATATTTTGTTCTCATTTTGTTTAGTCAAATTAATCAGGTTTATCTTTTCTATATTATATATTTATATAAATCTTATCCTAGAATTGAACCTAAGGTAAATTTACGTGCTACGGTTAGTGGCGACCTCAACATTTTTTATAAATTTTAATTAGTATTTATTTAAATCAAAATTTTAGTCATCAGATGTTTTAGTAACAAATTGAATGTTAAATAAAAAATCTAGTCCCTTACCTGGTTTTAATCAGGTTTATCTTTTCTATATTATATATTTATATAAATCTTATCCTAGAATTGAACCTAAGGTAAATTTACGTGCTACGGTTAGTGGCGACCTCAACATATTTTATAAATTTTAATTAGTATTCATTTCAATCAAAATTTTAGTCATCAGTTAGTTGCAAATTGAATGTAAAATAAAAAATCTAGTCCTCTTACCTGGTTTTAATCGGCGTGTTCAAATTATTCTGCAACTTAACAAGTTCCTCACATTGCAACATGCATCTCTCCACAGTCCTCTTGTTCGACTTCTCAATATCCAACAACAGTATCAACGCATTGAATCTGATTTGCCAAGGACTGTGCGACTGTTTTAAAAGAACCATTAAGTACGCTTTTAGTTCTTCAGCCGTCAGTTCATCTTTGGGTTGGGATAACTTATGATAAAAACTAAAAATAAAAATAAATATAAATATATATATATATATATATATATAATATTATTTTATACTTACATAGAGCATAATATTATAGCTTGTGCGAGGCTTGTTAGTTGTTCCAGCTTTTGTTCTTCAGTGAATTTAATCTCTTCGAGTCTCAAATCATCGTTTAGTTTTAAAAGTTTAGGAGGTTCGTATGTGTGTGTCTTGTCACTACTTTCGTCTTGTAAATTGTTTTCAGTGAAGTTAATTAGTAGTTTCAATTGAGCTACGTCTTTTTGCTGGTATTGGGTTCTTTTACCCAAAGCACCTGGATAGATAGACACAAAATAAATAAATAAATAAATAAATATATATATATATATATATATATATATATATATTTATTGACTATATATATATTTATTTTAACACAATGAATCTTTTAAATGATTTTTTGAATAAGTAGTTTTTTTTGTATTGTGATTTATTGAAGTAAGGCAAAACACAACTGCATTAGTTTAAACACAACAGTCAAACTGAATTATATAATTTCATCTGCCAAATATATACTGTATTTTATATTATTTTAATATCTGGCACATCTCAGCTACCTTTTGCCAATAATAATGCAGACATAACATTTTTTTATTCATAATCATGAATTTATTATACACATTCCAATATGGTCTAGGCTTATAAGTAAATTGAAATTTCTGGCCAGTGACAGTTCCCATTTGTTGAACTATTAGGTTGTCAAATATCTCCCTTCCGCCTTTTTGTATTATAAACCAAGAGCAAAAAAGCGGAAGGGAGATATTTGACAATCTAATATTTTCAATATTAAAAAATGACATGTCGTTTTTTGCAATTTTTCCATTTATTTCTAAAGCATTACTATATTTTTATAAACATTTACATCCTAAAAAATTCCCTTAACAAACTTCACAAAGATTTATCAAAATCCGAATAATCGTTTAGGAGAATTATCCTTTCATACACCATTACAGAAGAATTTACTTCTATAATTCAAAAAATCCTAAAAGATTCCCTTAACAAACTTCAGATAGATTTATCAAAATCCAAATAATAATTTTAGAGAATTATCTTTTTAAACACCATTACAGAAGAATTTATTTCTGTAATTCAAAAAACCCTAAAAAATTCCCTTAATAAACTTCAGAAAGATTTATCAAAATCCAAATAATTGTTTAGGAGGATTATCCTTTCATACACCATTATATATATATATATATTATATATATATATATATACATATATAAGTTATATATGAAATTCTTCTGTAATAATGTATGTAAATATATTCCTCCTAATCGATTATTCGGATTTTGATAAATCTTTCTGAAGTTAGTTAAGGGAATTTTTTGAATTATATATATATATATATATATATATATATATTATATTTATATATATATATATATATATATATATATATATATATAATTATTATTGAAATGTCTGAAGCATTTTACCTGATATATCAAGTTGTATTCCATAAACAGATTTCGCTTCAGTTAAAAATGTATTTGATTTTTCTATCCGCTTGTAATATAAATAAATCTGAGGAAAAAAAGCAATCAATTAATATTGTTTGATTAATTTATTTTTTATAAACCTAAATATATGTATTTCTATCCTTGTAATTATTATTCTTTAAACTATAACAAGTTAAAATTTCTATCCTTTATAATATTTAATACATATAATTACCTGACAAATTTCTAAATTCAAAATAATCAAAAACTTCCTGTCAATTTGGCTTCTACTATCTTTTAATTGTAGACGAAACCCATCCAGCATGTTTATGCATTCTTCTATTTTATTAAACAACATTTGACTATGTTCATCTAAGGATTGTTGATGTATGTACAAACATCTTAATAACCACCATAAGGCAAGCTAAAAGATAAAAACAAATATATAAATAAATAGAATAAATTTGCATATATATATAGATAAATACTTTAGTCAAATTCAATATTTACAATTGAAGTCAATACAATAATTATTTTTATCACAATACTATATTATAACTAAATTAATATCAGTTATGTTTATGAACAACTCTAAGATTAACCTAATGACAATTAATATTTATCTTGGATTAAAAAATTCATTAATTGAATAGATAGGTTGATCTATAAGATGCTTTTTATAAAATAACATTTTCATAAATTTTATATATAATATATATATATATATATATATATATACATACATTTTTAAAATTTTTGTCCTCTTTTGCATCATTAGTTAGATGTGTTAGAATTTTCTTTGCAGCTAAAAGTAGTTCTGGATATTTGATTAAAACATTCAGTTCCTCACCGTCTGAACTCAATCTATAAATAGTGCATACTTATATAAACAATATATATATATATATATATATATATATATATATAACCACATATATTGTAACCATATTATAACTTACAAGTTTCTTGCATCTGTTATAGATAAAACATTGTTTGCTTCATATTCTAAATCAGGTCCTGTGAAATTTGCTTGGCAGTACGCCCATAAACATGATACAGCAGTCGCAAACAAACTTTCTGCATTTTGTACTTGTTGAAGTTCACAATTTAAAATTTCTTTAATATTTAACGAGTCTTTCCAGTTACATTGTAGTATATTGGAAAACGTGGAGGCATCTGAAAAAAAGTAATAGGCTATTAAAATAGTAAAATAAACTTCTATGTACATAATAAAACCTTCGTAATGTAATTTCTTTGTAACATATAAACATTGCAATATCTTTGAGGTTATGTGAAATCGTTTTGATGAATAAATATATCAAACGTACCTGGGCATTCAAAATTGTCTTCATAACAACATAATATCGTTTCTGCAAATTTGGATATTAAAGAATCTTGCATCTTGTGATATAATAATAATAATTGTGATACAAAAACTAACCTGTAAAGTGAATGGTATAAATTATGAATTTCACACAGAAATGCAGAATGATAACAAATATTAAGTACTGACTTAATTAACAAGCTTTTAGATATATCAATTATAATATTACTATATCAATTTATTTATTTATTTAGATGTCAAGACAAGCACGTTCGGTCAACATGTCAACTTAGTTAAATATTTATTTGGATAAAAAATCTGTTGGCTGTTTTGTTAAATGTATTTACAACTAACTATTTATTATTTATTATATTAAAATATTATTTTTAATATATATCACCTGTTAAATCATTTACATTAAACAAATACATTAAAATTAGTTCGTTTTGCATTAACTGTCAACATGTGACATGTCTTTTCAGCATAGAGTATATTTCAGAAAGATTAGACATTTAACAATTTGCAAATGGCGCGTTTTTTCAAATTCAATATAGTTCTTTACGGTTTTTCACGTCTCAAATGTATAATTAATAATCAACTAATTATTAACTAACTATTAATCATTAACTATAATCAATAGCTAACTAATAATAAACAATCTCAATCAATTTAAATCAAAAATCTAACCTTATTTTAAACATCCTCCATGTGACGTCTACGCCGGTTTGGTATCTTTGACACATGTGCCATCATTCATCGTTTCGCTCGTCTCACAAATTCTTGTAAATAAAAACACAATTTCCTTTAATTTTCATGTGATAATATTCCTTCAAAATGTCAGTACGTGTGCAATTCGAAAACAACAATGAAATCGGTGTTTTTAGCAAACTAACAAACGCTTATTGTCTCGTAGCGATCGGCGGATCTGAAAACTTTTATAGGTTAGGAATGGTAAATGAATCATGGCAAATGAATTAATGGAATTAAAATTGTGTTTTTGTTTAGTGTCTTCGAGGCTGAATTGGCAGAGACTATTCCGGTTGTCCATGCCAGCATTGCAGGGTGTAGAATTATTGGCAGGTTGACTGTGGGGAATAAAAATGGTTTATTGGTGCCAGCTTCGACTACTGACACAGAGTTGCAACATATAAGGTAATGTTGTGAAATAGGAGATAAGATAATCATAAGTAATAGTATTATTTTGTTTTAGGAATTCTTTACCAGAAAGTGTAAAAATACAAAGGGTCGAAGAAAGATTATCAGCTTTGGGTAATGTGATAGCTTGTAATGATTATGTAGCCCTAGTACATCCAGATCTTGATAAGGTAAATAGATTTTATAACCACAATAGTTAACTTTATGCACTCCCGCATTGAATTTTTGTTTCTATTAAGGAAACTGAAGAAATCCTAACAGACGTCTTAAATGTTGAAGTATTTCGCCAAACAGTTGCCAGCAATGTCCTAGTCGGCTCATACACAGTTTTAAGTAACCAAGGAGGCTTAGTGCACCCCAAAACATCCATACAAGACCAAGACGAACTATCGTCATTACTACAAGTACCATTAGTGGTAAGACACCTAAATCAATTATTTATTATTAATATATTATTCTGTGTCATTTACCATAATAAATTTATTATTAATATATTATTCTGTGTCATTTACCAATAAATTTATTATTAATATATGTTCTGTGTCATTTACCATAATAATTTATTATTAATATATTATTCTGTGTCATTTACCAATAAATTTATTATTAATATATTATTCTGTGTCATTTACCTTAAGGCTGGTACAGTTAACCGAGGCAGTGAGGTTTTAGCCGGAGGTTTGGTAGTCAACGATTGGTGCTCCTTCTGTGGAATGGACACAACGTCAACAGAACTCAGTGTGATTGAAAGCGTGTTCAAATTGAACGATGCACAACCTGCAGCTATCACGTCTACCATGAGAGCATCTCTAATAGAAAGGTAAAAAATTGATTAAATTATGTATTTGTAATATGATATATATTTTTTTTCTTTTTCAGTATGTCCGGTTAGTTGGATGATTAAAAAAGCTGCATTTGATTTAAAATAATACAGCATCGACATGATTTTTATTGTTAAAACTAATAAAGTATAAGTGAGACATTCAAATTTGTTTATATGTTGTTTTGTATAAAAGTATCTGCTTATAATACAAATTAATTTTATAAGATTATAATTATTTATTTTATAAGAACCAGCACATCTCCCTCATACATAACTATATTTCACTGAAAAAAATATTAGATTATTTTTAATGAAAGGTGCAGGGCTTTGTATCAATTATTAAAGGAGTCTAAAGAAGTTTTACTTCAAAAATTTTATGTTACATGTTTTATGGTATCATTTGAAAAGTCATTTTCAGTAGAATCCGAATACTGAAATTAACTATGTGGTTTATCCACTTTTAATGAATTTGTAGTAAACGAGCTTAAAGAAGTTTTACTTCAAAAATTTTAGGTTGCCTGTTTTATGGCATGTGGGGTATCATTTGGAAGGTTATTTTCAGTACAATCTGAATACTAAAATTAACTATGAGGTTTGTCCACAAAATATACACTTTAAATGGAATTGTAGTAAACGTGTTTAAAGAAGTTTTACTTCAATAAAATATAGATTGTATTTTTTGATTGCATGTGGGGTATCATTTGAAAGGTCATTTTCAGTAGAATCCGAATACTGAAATTAACTATGTGCTTCGTCCACTTTTAATGAATTTGTAGTAAACGTGCTTTAAGAAGTTTTACTTCAATAAAATATAGGTTGTATTTTTTATTGCATGTGGGGTATCATTTGAAAGGTCATTTTCGGTAGAATCCGAATACTAAAATTAACTATGACAAAATATACACTTTAAATGGAATTGCAGTAAACGTGTTTAAAGAAGTTTTACTTCAATAAAATATAGATTTATCTTTATTGCAGTGGGGTATCATTTGAAAGGTCATTTTCAATAGAATCCAAATACTGAAATTAACTATGTGGTTTATCCACTTTTGATGAATTTTGTAGTACACAAACTTAAAGAAGTTTTACTTCAATAATATATAGATTGTATATTTTATTGCATGTGGGGTATCATTTGAAAGGTTATTTTCAGTACAATCTGAATACTAAAATTAACTATGAGGTTTGTCCACAAAATATACACTTTAAATGGAATTGTAGTAAACATGTTTAAAGAAGTTTTACTTCAATAAAATATAGATTGTATCTTTTATTGCATGTGGGGTATCATTTGAAAGGTCTCTTTGAATAGAATCCAAATATGTACTGCAATTAACTATGTGGTTTATCCACTTTTAATGAATTTGTAGTAAACGAGCTTAAAGAAGTTTTACTTCAATAAAATATAGATTGTATCTTTTATTGCATGTGGGGTATCATTTGAAAGGTCATTTTCAGTAGAATCCGAATACTGAAATACCTATGTGGTTTATCCACTTTTAATGAATTTGTAGTAAACGAGCTTGAAGAAGTTTTACTTCAATAAAATATAGATTGTTGACGTTTATACAGAAAAGGAACTCTACTGACGAGAAATTATTTTTATGGAAAAGTTACTCTACTGATGAGCAAACTAGAATTTTTTTTAGGAAATATTTATACAGAAAAGGGACTCTACTGACAAGCAATAAAATATTTTAATAGAAAAAGGACTCTACTGACGAGCAATAAAATATTTTAACAGAAAAAAGGACTCTACTGACGAGCAATAAAATATTTTAATCAGAAAAAGGACTCTACTGACGAGCAATAAAATATTTTAACAGAAAGAGGACTCTACTGACGAGCAAACTAGAATTCTTTGAGCAATATTTAAACAGAAAGAGGACTTTACTGACGAGCAATAGAATATTTTAACAGAAAAAGGGCTCTACCGACAAGCAATAAAATATTTTAACAGAAAAAGGACTCTATTGACGAGCAAACTAGAATTCTTTGAACAATATTTAAATAAAAAAAGGATTCTACTGACGAGAAAACTAGTTTTCTTTAAGAAATATTTATTCAGAAAAGGGACTCTACTCACAAGCAAGCTAAAATTCTTTGGACAATATTTATACAAAAGGACTCTACTAGCAATGAAATATTTATACAAAAAAGGGACTCTACTGACGAGCAACTTACAATTTTGTATAAAGAATATTTGTAAAGAACAGGGACTCTACTGAGGAGCACCTAGCATTTTTTAACTTCCCGTAGGGCAAGTTATAGTAATCGCAAAAAAATCGAAAATGAAAATTTTTATATATATTTACGTTTCAGAGGTTTCTGAACATTTTGGCATACCTTAGAAAAAATGGATGTATGTGGGGTGTGTGTGTGTATGTGTGTGTGTGTGTGTATGTATATATGTATGTGTGTGTATGTATGTGCGGATACAAATTTTCGTCGACGATTTCGGGAAACGATCAACCGATTTAAATAATTCAAAAAACATTCGATCCGTATTGATAAGGAGACGTGCTGATTAGTTTTTGGCGAAGGCAGGTCAAGCCGTTCGAAGATACGGGGCAAAAAGTGCCGAAAACGGTAACTCAGTTTTTAAGAGAACGGAGCGTCCGATTTGAATAATTCAAAAACATTTTATTGTATTGACTAAATGAACAACTTTAAATTTTGGAAGCAGGTCCAACGACTTTGGAGATATGGAGGAAAAAGTAAAAAAATGAGCCATTTGGCGGTCAAAAATGAACATTAGACATATGCACAGCAAATTATCAGATTTTATAGAAATTTTAACAATAAGTATAATTTTTTTTTACATTCTATGGGTTCCGTACCAATGCTTATGCGTTAGACGCGGCGCGCACTTGCGCGCTTCGATATTTCGTCTCTATGCAGTTCAAGCAGTGCGATTGCTTTGAAAAAAAAGTTCAAAATTTCCAAAATATGTCAAAATGAAGAAAACATTTTTTTTTAAATTTTTTTTGTTTTCAAAAAACTTTTTTTCCTAAAAAATTTTTTTTTCAAATAATAAAAAAATTTTTTTTCTAAAAAAAGTAATTTTTGTCAATTTTATTTTCTCAAAAATCTATTTTTTTTCGAAGTATAAAATTTTTTCAAAAAATGTTAATCGTTTTTAAAAAATAAAAATTTTGGTACGGGAAGTTCCAGCAATTTGCTTGAGGCACGATGCCTAATTGCCTTAAGACAGAATTCCACTTTACAGCTAGTTAAAAAAATATTTTTACAAAGGACTTTACTGACGAGCAAACTAGAATTCTTAGGAAATCTTTTTACAAAAAAAGGACTAACGAGCAAATGGAAATATTTATACAAAAAAGGGACTCTACTGACGAGCAACTTACAATTTTGTATTAAAGAATATTTGTAGAGAACAGGGACTCTACTGAGGAGCAACCTAGCAGCATTTTTGAAAAAAATATTTTTACAAAGGACTTTACTGATGAGCAAAACTAGAATTTCTTAGGAAATATTTTACAAAAAAGGACTAAAGAGCAAACTAGAAATGTTTGTAGAAAAAAAGGGACTCTTACTGACGTGGGGTCTCTGTTGGTCCTTAATATGAACATTTTCGAATTTCCTTGCTCCCAAGGGCTCAAATACTCCAAATTAATAAAAAAAAATTCTCTAAAAGTTTAAGGTCTTAATAATAACATTTAGATAGTCCGCAATTCAATTAAAAGTTTGTATATTATTATCAACATATATAATATTAAGTAAATTCTTGCGCCATCTGTGAAAGCAGACTTGTAATTTTGATGGCAATTTATTTTGATAATGAATAAATATATCGTTAAACAGTCGACGACGAAAATAACCGAAACTTTTATTTTAATTGCAGACTATCTAAATGTTAATATTAAGAGCCTAAACTTTTAAAGTTTTTTTTTTTTAATTTGGAAGCATTTCAGCCCTTGGGAGCAAAAAAATTCAAGAAGGTCCATTTTAAGGACTACCCCGTTATTTCAAATGTAAATTAAAGATCCATAAAATCTGTTAATTAGGATAGGGCTCAAAGTGTTTATTTCTCAAAAAAAAAACTCCCTGCAAGGCAAAATTTAACACAAAACTTTTCCTATGGGTTGTTAATTAAATGACTTCTCATAGGCCTGTAATATTTTAAGGGAGTTTGTTTCAACCAACCATGCTTAAATCCGATTCTGCCTCACAACAGAAAAATGTTATGGCAAGGCCATGCTACGTTCCAATTTGCATACATTATGCTACTGAATCATACTGAATATCGTCAAAATGTCATGTAACTAAATAAACATCAACGTCACTCATATGTTTCGAAGCTAGGTTAGAAAGACCCTGTTATCTAACCTGGTTTCTATGTTAGGTTTTCTATCTGACAACCTGAGACATTTGCCTGACTGCATAGCAACCGCATGACTTTTGTCAATATTTAGTATGAAAATAATAGCCTTGCCATAACATTGGTCTGTTATGCGGCAAAATCAGTCCATAATATCAAAAACAATGTATATTGGTTTTGGCAAATTTGATATAAACTCATCAATACGTTTTTCCACAGATTTATTTATATATTCAATAAAAATATACTTCCACAATCATTTACAAAAACACATTTTCCTCATAACGTTCTTGAAACTCTTTCAAAAAGTCCAAAGTCTCCGTATATTCATCATCTTCCAATCCCGTATCTTTAAATCTGTACAATTTACCAATCTTAATCCGTTCGGCCTCTCGAATCAAACCTCCCAAAGAATCAAAAATAGTCAGCGTGTTGTGCGCCCCCGCAATCAAAGGAATCCTCAACACATTCTCATTTTCTTCCCTCGGCACAGGATCGATCAAACCGTTGTGGTTTACATTGTCTGTAAAAAATTGAGGAAAAGACGAAGGCAGCTTGTAAGGTGAATGTGCAACAGTCACATTGGACCCTGTAGC